ATCGATAAGCGGGGCATTGAAGTCTCCCATAATCAAGACGTCGGGCCGAGCATTGGGAAGCGGAAAAGAATGAGGTATTTGGCCAATTAAACACAATTTAGTAAACAAGTATTTACGCTATGTGCAGATAAGATCTTTAACGCACATAGTATTGCGGGCAAAGAAAATGGAGACTGGAATGGCAATCGCTGGTTTATTAGCCGTCACCAGCCAGTCATACGCAACCCTAAGTGGTGCCCCACCGAGGCTCGAACTCGAGACTTTTTTGATCAGAGTCGAGCGCTCTAACCATTGAGCTACGAGCTTGTCGTCCTGCGATTTAGGTCGGGAGAGAGTGACACTCGTTGAGTAACGTCAACCGATCGCTAAGGGAACCCGCTCGTCCCGCCCTGCTGTGCGGCTGCTGGTGGATCTCGGAACTGAGCCTCAAGGCCGGCGAACGTTAATCAACCACTATATTTAACACTTATTATCTTCCGCTAAATTCCATAGACCCAGAGCTATTATATCGGCATTCAATTTTCCGGCAAATATCTTTACCTCTGAAGCAAAATTGCCATGTTTTGTGTATGTGCAAGGTTATGAGAATCAATTTGGGTTTCCTGTGTTTATTCGACAGTAAAACGTATACTTCCCGGTTTCCTAACTCATCTCTTTCGAGTCTGCCACTGAAAACCGATTATCAATTTGGACTGTCTGCAGACTGATCAAAGATTTTAGTGGTCGGTCAATAGCCTCCCTTGATGCTATGTACTCTTAGGTATCATTAGGCTTTGTTGGTTGGGCAAAAGCCCTCCTTTCAGTGATACAATCTGCCCTGTGAATATAACAACTGTTTCTCACAGCCTTCGTTACTTTGACGCCTCTGTTAATTGCGAATAATAGAAGATGACAGAAATGCTCAAGATTTCCAACCTGACGCTTTCCCATCTTGAGGTCTGAATAATAAAAAAAAGTTAAAAATACCATGAACTACGGATATATCAAAAAATACATCAAAAGTTTGAACACTTGAAAACCTAACGAACTTGTGGGACGACCCAATATTTGCCTGTATCTTCCGGTTTGCATTCTACGTCCTCTAGGGCAGTAACGATGAACTGCGTCGAGAACTACAAGAAACCCGGCTGGTCGCAGCAACTGCCCAACTCCAACTCGATGCACAGACCGAGCGGCTGACCAACTTGGAGACGCAACTGCGAAATGAAGGCGGCCTGCGCTCGGGATCGTTGGAACAACTTCTTACTATACAACAGGTCCCGACTACGGCCCTGCCCTCGACGGGCTTGTCTGCCGGCGCCGGGGAGACTATTGCGGCCCTCGAGGAGCACCTGGTAATAGCTCTGCACGAGGCAGAGGAGAAGGCGCAGCAAATCAAAGAACTGGAGCGGAATCTGGAAGATCTGCGAAGGAAGTTTGCCCTTTGTAGGCATAAACAGGGCCTCCTATACAACGACTTCTCTGTGGAACGAAAGGTAATTCCTAATTTTATGGTTAAAGACGGAGCAAAAACAATTGTTTTAAAAATATGCGCTTAAGCATATTTTAACGTCACTCCTGTCGTCTTACCTGTTTTATTTTAACGGCAAGACTGACTTTAGACACCTCAAAAATCCCGTCGACTTATAATAAAAAACTACTTTTTAAATTTCCAGTAGCCCGACTTTACATTTTTTCGCTAAATTTCACCAATAGGAGGTCAAATTTCCATTTTCTTTAAATTCCGTCTGCATAAGGTCGAATATCCCTCAACTAGCATCCGTATCCTGGGCAACATTGGTTCATGTTACTGGAATTATATTCATTTTTAGCATAAAAACATAATCTTATTTAATTGGACACTTTTTATTACTTCCGCCACAAGTGCATATTAATTTACGCTCACTAGCCAAGAATGCAATGTTTGACCACAAAATACGTCAAGCAGTTTGGCGGGATAAATATTAAGGGGGCCCCACAACTCCGTTTTGCCCTTTTAACCTTTTGTGAAAATCATGGATTCTCGTGTTTGTACATGTACGGATAACTACAAGACATATTACTTTGAACGCTTACGCAAAATCTCTTCTAAGCAGTACACCATTACTGAGTGCTACAAAGATCACTAAAACTATCCCGAAACCTTGTTTTTTTTTCTCGGCCGACTGCGAGAAACATAACTTTCATCAGCATTGCTAATACTACTCGTCACGATGATAGTAGGAATGCTATCTCCGGCTTCATAATAAAAAAAATCAAATGCCCTCACTTTTTAGTCTGACATTTTTAGTAACTATTTGGGGCAGCCTATGTCTCACCTCTGTTATGAGTCCCGATGGATAGATGCGTACTGTGCTTGTCTCATAGATTATCAGCATTGCCGTTACAAAAACTTTAAATGCGACATACTTTAGTAGCAACGTATGCAGGTGGAAATTGCCGATAAAGACAAGGAAGACGGAAATGGCCCTTTCTGGCTCAATAGCCGTTATCAGCCAGTCATACCAAACCCTAGGGGGTGCACCACCTAAGGCTCGAACAAGCAGAAAGTAGCATGAAGAACGGCTTGGATACCTGGAAAAATCTAAAGCCGCGGAGGAAAACTCCGAAAAGAAGGAAAATGAACGTCGTCGTGGTGAGCTCACCCGAGAAATATTCAAGCTGCGAATTAATGAGGGTGTTCTTATGCGAAAATATACCTCAGTCAGTGACCAACTGGTCAGCTTGGAGCAGATAGTTTCTGCATTTCAAAATAATACTCAGAAAAACCCTCTCCTTTGATCAGAAGTCGAGCGTTCTAAGCACTGAGCCATGGGTTCGTTTTCATGCTGGGAATATTTGCATTCGTTGATAAATGCTCACCAATCTCTAGAGAACCTTACTCGTCCCCTTCTGCTATGGAGCTCACTCTTGAGCCCTCTCTCCCTGCAGCAGCCGCAGAGCGGATATTAATGCCAGCGGATGAACATTGCCGGCAAAGACAAGAGAGACTGGAATGACCATTTCTAGATCATAAGTCGTCATCAAACAGTTGCATCATTTTAAGTAACATAAAAAGTTACTCCACACGTTACTCCTCATCACCATATTTTTAAAAATAACCTCTATATATATGTAGAGAGGGATGACAGCATTTGGGGGTAACTTGATACAGAACTGTTTCAGGCTTATTTGCCTCCATTCAGCCAAGTATAACCCTGAACACCAGCTGGGTCGGACAAAACAAACATACGCACTCACAGA